ATTACAGAAATATCAGGGTAGTCTATTATGAACTGAACCAAGGTTCTGATTGCCAGAGGGAGCAAAAGTGAGGATAAGGGATAGCCTTGCCTTGTGTCCCTCAACATAGAGAATGTGGGGGATTTAAAACCCACATACTTCACATAGGCTTGGGAGGAATCATAGAGATTCCCTATCCAAGAATAAAATTTAGGTCCACAGCCTCACTTCTCTAATATATACTGTAAAAGAGGTATGGCCAAGTCAAGTCAAAAGCTTTTCAAATGTCTAGTGAGAGGATCATAAGCAGAATATTCAGTTTTCTTGAAGCTTGGACAAGGAGGGCCACTTTGTGCATATTGTCACCAGAATTTCTATTGGGAATTAAGTCAACTTGGTCTCAGTGAATTAGTCCTGAAGAAACCATTAGGTCCTGGACGTTTATGCAGTTTCAGAGCTTTAATTGCCACAAGAAATTCAGCACTTGAAATGGGAAAACCTAATGCTACACATGAAGCTTCAGGTACTTGTGGCAAGGTTAATTGAGAGAAGAGGGCATTGGCTTCCACAATGGAGAAATTTTCTATGGAAGTATAGAGTTCCAGGAGACTCTGTCTGAATGTTTGAACAATTTTATATGGATTACTAGTGTATAAGTGTTTTCCTGACACAAAGACAATAAGGCTTTAATGCTGGGTCAAATTTCCTGAGCCTAGCAGGTAAAAAAAAGTGTGTTTTCATGCTCCTGATGGCTTTTTAGGCCTGATCTATCAAACATAGGCTTAGATTTTGCTTGGCTTTGTCAAAGACCAATTTTAGTGATTTAGAGGGGTTAGTTAGAAACGCTTGGGCTATGTCATGAAAATCATGCTCAAGAAGGAGGAGTTGTGCTGTGTGTTCTTTTTTTCAAAAAGAGGCTATTTGGATGTAATGTCTCATCACAACTTTGTGTGCTTCCAACAAAAAAGCAGAGACATCAGGAGACCTATTTAAAGATAGATAATCCAAAATATGTGAGTGAATCAAGGTTTGTTGAGGACATTGGAGAGGAGGGATTAATTTAGCAATCAAGGTGGATCTGCCCCTGTGACCAGTAGAGCAGAAATTGTGAAAAATTTTACTTTTTTAAAGCAAAACGGTAACATAATTTTTCATCTTTGCATTCAGCATCTTCAGACAATTAAACATCATTGATACAAGGTATTGAAACCATGGCTCTATGAGGTAAGGCTTGGGGGATTTTAGTCTAGGATAAAAAGCTTATGATGAGGAACTTATGAATTACTTAGTATTATCCTCTTGAAACACCCTAGTGCACAATACTAGAATTCCTCTGAGTTGGTGAGATGCATTGGGTAAGGCCTGGCAATGCAGCATTGCAAATCAACACAGGCAGGTCTATCACCACTTGTCATAACTACTTGTGTATGAGTAGAACTGCTCTACTTTCTGGTCACTCATTATTCATTAATCTTAGATTTCTAAGCATTCAGTGAAGAAAATAAGTACTTATTTCATGTACATGTGTTAGCCCTAAGGGTATAAAATGTAGTGAAGGCTCTTAGCATTTACAGTTCATATAGCAGTAAAAGTGCTGTTGTCATATTAACAGCTTAAGACACAAGTACTGGAAGTACACAAGATGAGCAGTGTAATTGAAACAGAGGCTAACAAGACTATTCAAATAATCTTCATCAAGTGGTCTCCTTGCTTTGCGTTAATTATTTCACAGGAATTGTGTTTACCAGTACTAAATTTATGAGCTCAATAAAGCTGCAGGGTTTTTTTTTTCTTTAATCCATGAATATATACTTTCATGTCTACTGCAACAAGTCAACTGGTTTCTTTTGAGTTCAGACAAAGAGTAAGCCCTGGGCATGATAGCTAGACACTGGTCATTTAACTCAGCGGTGTATTCTTTGTCTTTACACACAGAAATGCAACATTATTTTATTGCTGTTTTTAGTCAGCAGCAGAATGCTATGTATAATTTATACATATGATGGTTTAAAGGGCTGACGTATGTAAATACGATTTAGAGCAAGTGAGAGTTCTAAATTATTATTTTTTTATTCCAGATTCACATATGGGTTTGCTAATCAATGTAGTACATAGGCAATTTACTGAAATTCAGCTGGTTTAGCAGGATTCGGCCAAATTGCGATCCACCTATGAGCATCCTGGTTGTACAGAAGTCAATCTATTGATTGACTTCTGTACAACCACCCTGCTGGGCTATAGCTATCAGCACTAATCATTGTGTTCCAGTGGGGAAGACTCCCCGCTATGAAAACACAATATCACAGTTGGAGCTATTCCCCCATTCACCTTGAATTTATGTATGGGGGGAATCAGATATATTTTTTTGTTCTACCCTCTGGTTGAATGAAACAAAATGTATAATGCATGGCCTGCCTAAGGTGGTTATAAACAGTTAGAGATTATTGAACTCTGAGGAGCTGGTTTATTATAGACTGTTCACTTGGCAAAGTGCACTAAGTAAGTAATGTGAGCCTGTGTGAATACCAAATCTTGTTCACAAAAACTGGAAAACAAATTGCACATTTTGGATGATTGGTATTGCTTGAACACTGTTTTGCTTTGGTGTCTATTCTTCTTTTCAGTATTAGCCAAGGAAGCTTAAAATGCTACAGTGTATTAATATTTGCTTTACTAAACAGAAAAGGCTGCACATACAACTGCAGGAAACACAATTGAAAGCATGCAATGTATAATGAAATATGCACAAGCTGGCTATCTGTGTGATAGGCATACACTAAAACAGTTACTTAACTTGGATCTTTCTTTATGATGGATTCATCTTCTAGGATCCAGGATCTTTCAGACTGCTTCCTGCTTCTTCCAAAGTTCTTCTTCCAAGTCTCCAGAACCACTGTTGCCCCTTTTTTTCTGAGCACATGGTTCCAAATCCTATTTCTTTCCCCCCATTTCCTACTACATCAAATCCTGTAGCCTCGCTTCCTCTGCTGAGCTCATAAATCAGTCCAACTGGTTCATTAGTATATCAATAGGAGAGGCTTAGATTCTAAAACAACACATGGTCAAAATAACTACTATGCTTTCATTTTCTACTGTAAATGCCATCAACCTAAATTAATTAGGCTGACTGGGCAAACTTTATAACTATGTGTCACTGGTCTAGAAATATGGTATCCTCTGCAAAATGCTAATTAATTCCTCTGCTAGCCTCAGAAATCAGTCCAACTGGTCCATTAGCATATCAATAGGAGAGGCTTAGCTTCCAAAACAACACATGGTCTTAATTCTATATAATGCTATTTAAAAAAAATCACAAAAATAGCTATTGCAACACAAACATAGGTGGATGAGTGAACACAGCCTAACCTTGTTTAAAGCTAAACTCCAGGATAAATATTGTATAAGTACTGGAGGCATGTGTTAGGAATGGACTTGCCAGTAATGGTGGGACTCACCTGCCTTGTGGGCTGCAGTACCAGGGCTGGCCAGCGGGTGCTCCCAGCAATCAGAGACTCAACCCTGCAGCCAGCCAAACACCTGAAACTGCTTATGCAGGTGTATTTAAGTGATGGCCAGACCTGCAGTCTTTGCCTTGGTGTGTGTGTTTTTTTCCTGGGCCCTGTATCTTGTAATCCTGCATTCTTGTTCCTGTTCCTGTGTTCCTGCTAGTACGTTTCCTTGTTGCCAAACTCTGCCTGTTCTGATTACGCTGACCCTCTCCTGCTCTGACCCCGGCTTGTTCCTGACCATCCCTCTGCCTGACCCTCTGTACCACGCTGCCCGCTACCTGCTGAACCTGGCTTGTGACCCCGACCATTCTCCGCTTGCTCCCCCTGTACCTACCTGCCCGATTGTTATTGACCCGGCCTGCCTGACAACGCTTGCATTGTATGTACTGTTATCTGTGGGTGGTTTGGTTCGTTTGCACTGTGTTATGTTTTAGTATTGCACTGCGTTTATGTTTGTATTGTTAGTCTTTAATAAATTATATTGTTTATAACTTATCTGAAGCCTGCGTTTCCCTGCGTCAGTCACATACCTCTGGTCATACCCTGGAGCCCTGACATTACACCAAGGCCAATCCTGACCAGAAGTGGCTGCACAGGGAAGCCATCTTGGCTTGTTGCTGGGAAAGATGGATCTTGATGAGGTTGTGTATTTGTCTCTGCTGGTTTTTGATGACAGAGAATATACCTATCAGGCTCTGAGGGAGTATACCCGGGATCAACTGCTAGAATGTATATGGATATGCTCATGTTCTAGTAGATCAGGGCACAGAGTTCTCTGAGGTGCAACCTTTGATTCAGGTTTGTGTAGAGTTGGCTTCATCTGGTACCCCTGAAAGCAGGAATGACTTTTTGCCGCCATTTAGTGCAGACCAGGTAGAGTCCCTGGTATGGTTATTAGAGGATGATGTGGATTGCTTCTTGGAGCACTATGCTGCATGTTCACCACAGGTATTAAGGGATTGTATAAACGCAGTGCAGTCTTTGGTCAGACAGGCTTTGTGTAAGCTCAGCTTTGTTCAACCCATACTGCAGACATGGACAGATTTGTTGCACCCAGCCTCAGTCAGCTTACAAAAACCCAGTCCTGCTTCTAATCTATTTCCTCAAAGCTCTATTCCTGCATTCCCAACAGCTCCTCCTGCCCTGCTATCTACCGCATGTCAGTACCCTGTTCCCACTCGCTGCACCTATCCTGCCTTTAACCCTGTAAAGAAGTCCTCTGTAGCAACTGTTCCCTCCCCTGTTCCATCCTCCAGCTCTTCTCTGTCTCCAGCTGCTCCATTCGTTTGCAGACCTGCATTTACTTGCAGTGTTCCAGTAGTTAAAACCAGAAAAAAGCGAAAATTCTTTCCAACCAGTACCATCCTGCCAGTATCCAAACCGGTCAGCCTGCCGTCTGAGAACCGGCCTTCCGTGGTTCAGCCTGGTGCCCGGCACCCGCACTTCAGCCTGATGTCTGTACCCAGCCTGATGTCTGTACCCAGCCCGATGCCTCCATTCAGCCTGATGCCTCCATTCAGCCTGATGCCTCTACCCGGCCTGATGCTTCTGATTCTAGCCTGATGCCTCTATTCAGCCTGATGCCTCTACCCAGCATGATGTTTCTACCCAGCCTGATGAACTGATCCAGCCTGATGATCCTATTAGGCCAGTTGACTCGATGCCCGCTGTTGATCCAGACGATCCGGTACCTGATGACCCGGTGCCCGCTGTCATACCTGGTGACCCGATGCCCGCTGTCGAGCCAGACGATCCAATGCCTGATGACCCAGTGCCCGCTGTCATGCCTGGTGACCCGATGCCTGCTGTCGAGCCAGACGATCCAGCACCAGATGACCCGGTGCCTGCTGTCGTGCCAGACGATCCGGTACCTGATGACCCGGTGCCCGTTGTCGTGCCAATTGACTCAGAGCCCGCTGTCGTGCCTGGTGACTCGGTGCCCACTGCCTTGCCAGATGACGCGGTGCCCGCTGGCGAGCCAAATGACCTGATGCCTGGTGACCAAGTGCCCGCTGTCCTACCTGGTGACCCGATGCCCACTGTCGAGCCAGACAATCCAATGCCTGATGACCCAGTGCCCGCGGTCATGCCTGGTGATCCGATGCCCGCTGTCGAGCCAGACGATCCAGCGCCAGTTGACCCGGTGCCTGCTGTCGAGCCAGACGATCCAGTACCTGATGACCCGGTGCCCGCTGTCGTGCCAATTGACTCAGAGCCCACTGTCGTGCCTGGTGACTTGGTGCCCACTGCCTTGCCAGATGACGCGGTGCCCGCTGTCGAGCCAAATGACCTGATGCCTGGTGACCCGATGCCCGCTGTCCAGCCAGATGATCCAATGTCTGACCCAGTGCCCGCGGTCATGCCAGTTGACTCGGCGCCCACTGTCGTGCCTGGTGACTCGGTGCCCGTCGCTCTGCCTGGGGGTCCGAGACCTGTCGCTCCGCCTGGGGGTCCGGCGTCCGCCGCTCCGCCTGGGGGCCCGAGACCTGTCGCTCCGCCTGGGGGCCCGGCGCCCGCCGCTCCGCCTGGGGGCCCGAGACCTGTCGCTCCACCTGGGGGTCCGGCGCCCGCCGCTCCGCCTGGGGGCCCGAGACCTGTCGCTCCGCCTGGGGGTCCGGCGCCCGCCGCTCCGCCTGGGGGCCCGAGACCTGCCTGCGCTCCGCCTGGGGGTCCGGCGCCCACCCGCTCCGCCTGGGGGCCCGAGGCCTGTCGCCCCGCCTGGGGGCCCGATGCCTGTTGCCCCGCCTAGGGGCCCGATGCCTGTCGCCCCGCCTGGGGGCCCGATGCCTGTCGCCCCCCCGCCTGGGGGCCCGGTGCCTGTCGCCCCGCTTGGGGGCCCGGTGCCTGCTGCTCCGCCTGGTGGCCCGGTGCCTGCTGCTCCGCCTGGTGGCCCGGTGCCTGCTGCTCCGCCTGGTGGCCCGGTGCCTGCTGCTCCGCATCGTGGCCCGGTGCCTGCTGCTTTGCCTGGTGATCCGATGTGCCTCTGCCCGGAGTCCAGCCCGATGTGCCTCTGCCCGGAGTCCAGCCCGATGTGCCTCTGCCCGGAGTCCAGCTCGACGTGTGCCTCTGCCCGGAGTCCAGCCCGACGTGCCTCTGCCCGGAGTCCAGCCCGACGTGCCTCTGCCCGGAGTCCAGCCCGACGTGCCTCTGCCCGGAGTCCAGCCCGACGTGCCTCTGCCCGAAGTCCAGCCCGACGTGCCTCTGCCCGGAGTCCAGCCCGACGTGCCGCTGCCCGGAGTCCTGCCCGACGTGCCGCTGCCCGGAGTCCTGCCCGACGTGCCGCTGCCCGGAGTCCTGCCCGACGTGCCGCTGCCCGGAGTCCTGCCCGACGTGCCGCTGCCCGGAGTCCTGCCCGACGTGCCGCTGCCCGGAGTCCTGCACGATGTGCCTGTGCTGCCCGATGTGCCGCTGCCCGGAGTCCTGCCCGATGTGCCTCTGCCCGGAGTCCTGCCCGATGTGCCGCTGCCCGGAGTCCTGCCCGATGTGCCGCTGCCCGGAGTCCTGCCCGCTGTGCCAGTCTTTGATATCCCGCCAGTTACCAGACCCGGGCAGTGGAACATTTTGCCCAGCTAGGACTGTTTGGAGCGTCCTGAGGCCGCTGCTTGAGGGGGGGGGGGCTGTTAGGAATGGACTTGCCAGTAATGGTGGGACTCACCTGCCTTGTGGGCTGCAGTACCAGGGCTGGCCAGCGGGTGCTCCCAGCAATCAGAGACTCAACCCTGCACCAGCCAAACACCTGAAACTGCTTATGCAGGTGTATTTAAGTGATGGCCAGACCTGCAGTCTTTGCCTTGGTGTGTGTGTTTTTTCCTGGGCCCTGTATCTTGTAATCCTGCATTCTTGTTCCTGTTCCTGTGTTCCTGCTAGTACGTTTCCTTGTTGCCAAACTCTGCCTGTTCTGATTACGCTGACCCTCTCCTGCTCTGACCCCGGCTCGTTCCTGACCATCCCTCTGCCTGACCCTCTGTACCACGCTGCCCGCTACCTGCTGAACCTGGCTTGTGACCCCGACCATTCTCTGCTTGCTCCCCCTGTACCTACCTGCCCGATTGTTATTGACCCGGCCCGCCTGGCGACGCTTGCATTGTATGTACTGTTATCTGTGGGTGGTTTGGTTCGTTTGCACTGTGTTATGTTTTAGTATTGCACTGCGTTTATGTTTGTATTGTTAGTCTTTAATAAATTATATTTTTTATAACTTATCTGAAGCCTGCGTTTCCCTGCGTCAGTCACATACCTCTGGTCATACCCTGGAGCCCTGACAGCATGTCTATTCTTACTATAATTTTAGTACATTTTGTGTATTTCCTCCAGATTTGTGCAGTAATTCAATGTGAAGCTTTGCCTCTGTACAGTAGATTCTTGTAATAAAGGCTGGCCGCTGCTGACTAGTCCGTTATCAGCTCCAGGATAAATAGTGTACAAGTACAAGAGGCACGTATAATCTTACTAGCATTTTAGTACATTTTGTGTGTATTTTCTGTAATAAAGGTCAGCCACTGCTGAATAGTCTTGTATTCTCCCACCCTGTAGTTTTCTGCAGGCGGTCTATAGTGGGTGGAGCATGCTAGGCCCCTCATGCAGTTCTGCGCTCTGTACAGACCATGTACAGCACAGTGATGTTGTCACTGCTACTTTTACAAGTCTATTGTATGTGGCATAAAAATTATCATATTAAAGATCGTATGAGATTGCAATTAGTGCCCTTAAAGATCAGATGATTATGAATTTTTTTTTGTTAATCTGATATTCCTACCTACTGTCTCACAGATAGTAATAGTAAGATGACATGTCATGCACCCAACATGTGTGTTGTGGCAAGTGAAAGAGTACATGCGCATCATTGCTCTTCATCATATCGTGCTGAATAAGCCCACGGGCTGATAATTTTGCTAACCTAAATTGTAGGGCAACACTTTAGTATGTATATCATCCAGAATTGTGGTTTTGGGAAATAGAACAAATGTATAAAATGTGAGTTTGTGGAACAAATGAACACTTTGCAATTTTTGATTCATATCAATTGTTTTAGGATTGTTTAGAAGATATTCTTGATTGATTTTGTAAATACAAGGGCAACACAAGTTGTCAACTGCCAAAATTTACTATAATGACCAGGAAGGGTTTATAAACATATAAAGATCTAGTCTGCCAAAAACGAATACAATATTTCAGTTTTGTGTAGATACCAAGGGTTTTAACCATTCAGAATTTTCCCATATCGCTTAGCTACTTTTTTGCTAATGGTTCTGAGCCTAAAATTCTTAAGTCAACTCATCCTGCTATTACTGGGCCCTTACCCTTCCTGCTGGAACTTTATTTTATATTGTGAATACAAAAGGGAAAGCCTGGCATCAGTGTTGCTGCTGGAGCTCTTAAGATACATAAGTGTCTCACTCGAACCACTGGTGGCCATCCCCAGTCGAGATAATAGCTTTAGTAGACTGTGCCAAACAGATGCCTTCTTCTTCTTAGAGTTAACATGCTTCCCAAATGTCAAATTTCTTATTTTTTCATATTACAAGGAAATAAAAAAACACAATAAAACAGCCTGTATTTAAACACACTGAGCAACCCTTATGTTCAAAAAAGCAGATAGCATTTGGTTGATCAGTACGTTTACTTCAGGAATCACACGAATCTATTACTGGGACCCAAGTTAACTGCAAATAGAAAAATATTCTGCTGTCAGACTTTCTCTGTTCTGAAGAAATCTTTTTTTTTAGGTGTCATTCTGTAGGGGTACTAGCTGTATGTATGAAGAATGACAATGCTGTTTTTTATTTCAGAAAACATCTGAAGAGTCTTGGTGTAAACAGGATTTGATCATTTAGAGACAACAACATAATAAGGACATAATAACTACTATGCTGTCATTTTCTGCTGTAAATGCCATCAACCTAAATTAATTAGGCTGACTGGGCAAACTTTATAACTATGTGTCACTGGTCCAGAAATATGGTATCCTCTGCAAAATGCTAATGGATTGAAATTGTGAATAAAAAACTGACCTATGATATCACACATTGGCTACAAAATTTATAAAATCATTGACTGGAAATAAAAATGGATAAAATTTAGACTTTTATTAAGGGAGAAACCTAGCAGTCAGTCACAATCATTTGAACAAATTGTAATCCACAAAGGCCATTTGCCTTCAAATGGGTTTGTGAGACTAGGCTGCATCGGGCGAAAGAAAGCCACATGCTAATCAAACTGATGACTGGCTGGCAGCAGTGTTGAGACATACCCATATTTTTTTTTCATTACAAAGTTAAAAAACTTTTAAATGTATATCTAAACTGATTACAAGTCCTTTGATTTGGTAGCTGCAGCAGTTTTTCAGATTTTCTTTCCTTCATTTTCACTGGTGAGGCTGCCAATGGCACACATACTGTAATGTATGGCAGTACACTGGCTAAGTGTTTTGCATAGCAGCACTAGGGTCGTCGGTTCAAATCCCAACCATGGCACTACCTGTCTAGGGTTTACATGTGCTCTCTGTGCCTGTGTGGGTTTTTCCAGGTACTCTTGTTTCCCCCCACACTTCAAAGACATGCTGATAGGCTAATTGGTTCCTATCTACAGTAAACTGGCCCTAGCATGTGTACAGTATGTATGAATGTGGGTTAGGGACCCATGTGAATGTATAATATATACTTAAATTGATGGCACTATATAAATATCTGAAACAAATAAATACTAGGGTAATGGTGCTAACACACAGTATTGTATCTGGAGGAGCAGCATTGATACCCTAGGACTAGTTATGAGCTTGGGTTTGATCACAAAAGGAAGTTAGCTTTCATTACTGAGCAATGAGCTGTGGGTGGTGGGTTCTTATGACTTCACTGACCTAATGTGGGCATTTGGTGATATTAGGTCAATGTGATTGACCTAATACCTCTATGTGGCCATATTAGATTAGTGGTATCAATAGATTCCCTGTCCTTATTGTATATGTGCAGCTTGGGGTCTGGAATCTCTCATATACAGCTCATGGGCCCAGCAATGACAGCTAA